AAAAACCTAGATAAGCACAGGTGGAAGATGACTCTCTTCATCCACAGCTAAAATATGGAAACACGTCACAAATATATTCTTTAAACACCGTTCCAAGCACTAGATAAAACGTTCAGGATATATAATGAAATGACATTTACGTAAACGACAGCTGTACACAAATTGAAATCACCTACACTCGTAAAAAAACTAGTTTTTATAAAACTGTACCGACGTCGGTATACTTTCTTTTACACAGACCTATTACAAGAAGAAGATTCATTAAAAGATGTGATGTATTTCCGCAATACATTTCGAACAATCTGATCACACATTTACTTGTCAAGTCAATTTATATATGAAAATTAAAGGTCAAATATAGTGAATATGAAAAGGTTGTGACACTAGTCTTGGTAATATAATCAGATAAGGATTACCAAGGTAAATTAAGTGAAACAACAAATTGTTTTTGTACACACAGCGGGGGATTAAGTTTACGAATGGCTAACGCTTCGGCAAACTTCAGTATGCGCCCCTGATTATTCCTGTATATTATCTTAAACGCTGTTTTCGTATTAACCCTGTGATTCATTTCAATAATATGTTTTGCTATAGATGACGATGGATGTCTGTCACCTGCACTTATCAAAGTTTGTGTGTTAAACTGTTTTTCTAGCCATTTGGGGATGTGTTCACCCACCCTAGTCTGCATTGAACGATTACTCCTCCCTATGTATGTGTGCCCACACATACATGTAAATTGGTAAACGCAGTAGGATGTGATGTAATCATTTGTGCGAGGTTGAGGTTTGTGGTGAAGCAGGTGTTTTGTCGTCTCAACAATGATAAGCTGAGCTGCATAGTATGTTTTACTGATAACAGATTTTAATCTCTGCTTCAATATCATACTACTTGTTTCCCCTCTGTATGGTACTTTAAGAAATATGCTTTTCTTCGGGACCGAGGAAACTATAGGCTTTGGGGTCAACTGTTTTTTACAATGGTTGACAAACTGTAATGGATAACCGTTTTCCACTAGAGTGTCTGTCAGAAACTTATTCTCATCATCCATCGTATCAGATGTACAAATACGTTGGATTCTATTGAACAAGCATCTTACCAAGCCTCTCTTATATTTCATCGGACAAAAACTATGGAAATTCAAATACTGTCCTGTCCAAGTAGACTTCCTATATATTGATCGTTTTATAGATCCATCTTCCCTCCGGCACAAGAGTATATCAAGAAATGCAAGTTGATGGTCTTTTTCTTCCTCACATGTCAGACTGATATGATCTTGTACGGTATTAAGCCTTTTTAACAACCTCTTGGCATCCTCATCTGTGTCACATATTACAAAGATATCATCCACATACCTTCTATAGAGTGTGACATTGGTGATTAGATCTTGAGCCATTAGTTCAGTATGTGACATATATACATCAGCTAATAACGGTCCTAATGGACTCCCCATGGCTACACCATCAATTTGCCGAAAGTGTTCACCTTCGAAAGTGAAATGAACCTTATCAGTACATAATAAAAGCAGTTCTTTCAAATAAGTTGAAGGAATAGGGAAAGAAGGATAATTCGAAGATATGTGGTCACAAAGAATATTAATTGTCTTCGTTAGAGGCACATTTGTAAACAGAGAGTTAACATCAAAAGAATACATTTTCTTATTTTTAATATTCAAATCAGTAAGATAATCAACAAGTTCAAACGTATCTTTCAGTGAATACTTACATAAATCATTACGAATCGGGCTCAGTAATTCGGCTAACCACCTCGCCAATTTGTGTGTGGGAGACTGACACATTGACAATATTGGGCGTAGTGGATTATCAATTTTGTGAATTTTTGGAAGTCCATATAGATTTGGGAAATTAGATCCCATGGGTTTCAAGGAATTAAACTCCGCTTTAGCAATGACATCCGTGTTAAGGAGTTTAACTAGACTAGTTGTTACTTTTCTTTCTAATTTTCTTATATCCTCTGACGGAACATCTGCCAAGAATTTACTTTTATCACAAAGAATAGACAACATTTTATTTTTGTAGTCTACTTTGTCCATCAACACAACACCTGATCCTTTATCAGGCTTAAGAATTATCACATCAGGATTCCTCTGTAAGTTTTTCAGGGACTTGAAGTGTTGCGTAGTTAAAATGCATCTCTGTTTCGGACCTGGGTTATGGAATTGATGGGCTATATCAACTAGTTTAGCCTTCAACCAACTCTGGTTGTCCGAAGAGGTAGGGACTAGAGAAGTTAACTGATCATATAAATTTTCGAAATGGGCATCGATGGCTAAATCATTGTTATGATGGTATGGGACAGAAAAATTAAATCCAAGGGAAAGAGATTCTTTCTCACATACCGAAAGTTCAACTGAAGACAAGTTCGTCACATATTTATCTGGATTTACTGGAAATGACTCTATGTGAAGGTCACTGATACACGATTTCAATAACTTTTCTTTAGCTTCCACCTTCGTTTTAATCATAACTGAACTACAAAAATTGATAAATTTGATATGACAAACTAGAGAGATGTCAGACAGCACAGAAGAAGCAGATACATGAAGTTCAATTAATCGGCACAACTTCTCGCTGCAACTGTTAATATGAGAGTTCGTAAGACGAATAAGATTTGAGACATTAGGATGTAATTTTGAACATCGTAACGATTTATAGAATGGTCCTGGGAATGTGTGATTAGATCTACATGATTTATATAATATATATATATAATATATATATAATATATATATATATATATATATATATATATATATATATATATATATATATATATATATAATAAATTCCTGGCAGATGTTCCATCAGAGGATATCAGAAAATTAGAAAGAAAAGTAACAAGTAATCTAGTTAAACTCCTTAACACGGATGTTATTGCTAAAGCGGAGTTTAATTCCTTGAAACCCATGGGATCTAATTTCCCAAATCTATATGGACTTCCAAAAATTCACAAAATTGATAATCCACTACGCCCAATATTGTCAATGTGTCAGTCTCCCACACACAAATTGGCGAGGTGGTTAGCCGAATTACTGAGCCCGATTCGTAATGATTTATGTAAGTATTCACTGAAAGATACGTTTGAACTTGTTGATTATCTTACTGATTTGAATATTAAAAATAAGAAAATGTATTCTTTTGATGTTAACTCTCTGTTTACAAATGTGCCTCTAACGAAGACAATTAATATTCTTTGTGACCACATATCTTCGAATTATCCTTCTTTCCCTATTCCTTCAACTTATTTGAAAGAACTGCTTTTATTATGTACTGATAAGGTTCATTTCACTTTCGAAGGTGAACACTTTCGGCAAATTGATGGTGTAGCCATGGGGAGTCCATTAGGACCGTTATTAGCTGATGTATATATGTCACATACTGAACTAATGGCTCAAGATCTAATCACCAATGTCACACTCTATAGAAGGTATGTGGATGATATCTTTGTAATATGTGACACAGATGAGGATGCCAAGAGGTTGTTAAAAAGGCTTAATACCGTACAAGATCATATCAGTCTGACATGTGAGGAAGAAAAAGACCATCAACTTGCATTTCTTGATATACTCTTGTGCCGGAGGGAAGATGGATCTATAAGACGATCAATATATAGGAAGTCTACTTGGACAGGACAGTATTTGAATTTCCATAGTTTTTGTCCGATGAAATATAAGAGAGGCTTGGTAAGATGCTTGTTCAATAGAATCCAACGTATTTGTACATCTGATACGATGGATGATGAGAATAAGTTTCTGACAGACACTCTAGTGGAAAATGGTTATCCATTACAGTTTGTCAACCATTGTAAAAAACAGCTGACCCCAAAGCCTATAGTTTCCTCGGTCCCGAAGAAAAGCATTTCTTAAAGTACCATACAGAGGGGAAACAAGTAGTATGATATTGAAGCAGAGATTAAAATCTGTTATCAGTAAAACATACTATGCAGCTCAGCTTATCATTGTTGAGACGACAAAACACCTGCTTCACCACAAACCTCAACCTCGCACAAATGATTACATCACATCCTACTGAGTTTACCAATTTACATGTATGTGTGGGCACACATACATAGGGAGGAGTAATCGTTCAATGCAGACTAGGGTGGGTGAACACATCCCCAAATGGCTAGAAAAACAGTTTAACACACAAACTTTGATAAGTGCAGGTGACAGACATCCATCGTCATCTATAGCAAAACATATTATTGAAATGAATCACAGGGTTAATACGAAAACAGCGTTTAAGATAATATACAGGAATAATCAGGGGCGCATACTGAAGTTTGCCGAAGCGTTAGCCATTCGTAAACTTAATCCCCCACTGTGTGTACAAAAACGATTTGTTGTTTCACTTAATTTACCTTGGTAATCCTAATCTGATTATATTACCAAGACTAGTGTCACAACCTTTTCATATTCACCATATTTGACCTTTAATTTTCATATATAAATTGACTTGACAAGTAAATGTGTGATCAGATTGTTCGAAATGTATTGTGCAAATACATCACATTTTTCAGCTAATCTTCGTCTTCGAATAGCGTTATCGAAATTTATTGACGGGACTAATTTTTGCAATTTTTGTTTTCTTCTCAAGATTAGGATCAACTATCTCTTTCTTCTGTTTGTCTCCATCTGGTCTTCCTTAATTTTAACCCCTATTATCATATTTTTCCCATTCGTTTTCTCACCGTTTAGTTTTATATAAATTGACTTGACGAATTAGCATGTGATCACATTGTTCAGAGTGTATTGTGGATGTACATCACATTGTTCTGATAAACTTCGTCTTCTAATTACACTATCTAAATTCATGAAAGGGACTGATTGTTTCCTAATTATAAAAGATATTTTGCTTACTGTCTTGACATGATCATTTGGACAAGATGAACACGTTAACAATGAGTAAAGATATAAGTAAATGAAATGTAACTAATTTGCTAGAGATTGAAATCATTCAACAAATGATTTCAAAACTCACTCATTACAATTTCTCAGAATAGGATTTCTACCCATTTTCTGACCAATCCCGTGGATGACAAAACAAAGATGTGAAATATCAGGGACTCTGTCTTCCACTTGTGCTAGTTCATTGAAACCACGAAATAAACGCGTCCCAACTAAACTTAAAAAAAATAAGATTTTAAATATAAAAACCGGTACTTCTCCATGATGCAACGAAAAAGAATAAAAAAAAGATATTAAAATAGTTGACAATACGAGAGAATACACATCAAATTTATAAACTATAGTGAACCTCCATCACACGTTAGCTGAAGGAGGTCCAAGATGGACTAAAATATGATATCAGTCCATGAAGTCTTCAACTCTTGGATTAAACCGTGTGACAACAGAAACCAGTGGTCAGAGACTTTAGGTAAGATGACTTAGAATCGATTAGTGGAGGTGTACCTACACGATATCTTCATCTTAATCGTCATACCGAACTTCATTATTGTCTCATCTCTTCTCCTTCTCTTTTGATGATTTTCAACCACTTTTGCCTGCTTTCTTTATCTTTCATCTTGATGCATTTTCGTTTGATGTACTAATATGAAGTGTGATAAATCGGACTATTTCGTGGTAATGCCACATCGCATGTTGATGTCTCCATGTTGTAGTGGACTTCTATTTTTTTACAGAAAGATAGTGAATGCATTTGAGATACTGCAGACGAGTTTGGTCCCGATTGTTCAGAGTTGGTCAACCATTGTTTTATAGGTTATGGAAGAGCCTAATAGAGAAAATATTGCCTTCTGATATAAATCCACTTTATTATTATTATTTGTCCCTAGGGTTCCTAGTGGAACATAGAGCTTCAGTAGCACGTCTGCATTCCACTTTCTTCTCTCTAATATTTTCAACCTGGCTCCACGACAGACCAGAAGCTCTCAATTCTTCCTCACACGATCTCCTTCATGTCACCCTCGCCTCAGACGCCCAAATCGTCCTTTCCCATCTGCGTTCCACTCGAGCAACTGGCCTGGTGCACGATGTCGCCAGTCGGCCTTCTCAGTGTATGTCCAATCCAATCCATCTCCACTTCCTTCTGCATATTTGTTGAGCGATAGGTTCTTAGTTGGTTCGTTGCCAGACACAGCTCCTTGTTGCTTATTCTTTCTGACCATCTGAGCTTCAGTATCGAGCCAGCGTAGGCAGTTGTTGATGAATGTCTGTAATTTGTTGGAAATCCGTTTCGTAACGCTCCAAGTCTCTGAGGCATACAGGAGCACTGACTTGACTGAATTGGTGTTGAAAATGCAGAGGTTGTTCACGCTTTATGCTGAGTGCAGAAGATCTCCACACTGGTTTCAGGTTAATGAACGCCTGTCTTGCTGTCTTTCGGATCCTGGCTGATTTGATGTCCTCGTCCGTGCTGTCACCTGAAGTGGAAACGATGCTGCCTAGATAGGTGAAAGAGGCTACTTCCTTGAAGTTTCTCTCGTTCATGGTGATTGGTGTTGGTTGTTGATGATTGGGTATCTTCATCATCTCTGTATAAATCCATTCTAGCTTCAAATAATATTCAATCTCAATAGTTTAGAACAAGAAGTGAAAAGTTTGCCAGTAGCCTATGAAAATTCAGCGTAAAGTATTCTAATAAATCAAATTCTGAGAACCAGTCCAGATCCAGTTACTTTTGGATCCTTCAGTATCCTCCATCAGCTCTTCATTATTTCAGGTAAATACTTAACATTTTCTATATAATTCACCCTTTTATATGCTCCCGATACTGTCTATAATATGGCTAAATTTATGGGATTAAAATACTAAACATTAAACTTTACTGTAATCTAAAAGTCCCATAGATTCCAGGGGGAAATAAGAAAACTATTTAATGATTGGTTTCTAGAAGAACAGCTATCCATATGACTTCATCAAAAGATGTTTGTATAACTCATTGTCAACCCAGAAGTCAGTCTCGAAAACAAACGGACTGTCTTACCTTACATAAAGAGCATCTCCGAGATCAAAACTAGATTATTGAAGCCTTCTGGAATCGCTGTAGCTCACAAAATCTCTTCATTCTCCGTTAGGCAAGCAAAAAGATACAATACCTAAAGGAAGGCAAACTAAACATTGCCTAGAAGATAAACTGCAAATAACACTACATCGAACAGAGTGGTCGCCCTCTTTGTATCTGTCTACATGAACATCAACTACCAGTGAAGCATCATAACATTTCGTCCCTCATATTCATGCACACAGAAAACTATGGACATACATTTGAATGAGTAAATGTGGAAATCCAGGATAGAGGAAATACAAAGAATAGCAGAGGATTTTTAGAAATTTGATATTAAAGTCAATCAGAGAACAAGAGACATTTTGATATTGACCTAACCTATCAATCAATAAGAAACAATAAGAAGGTCAACGTTGACATCAACAGGACAACTAATCATGTATAAGACCATCAGAACAAGCTACTATAACACTTGTGAGGAAAACTATATGGTTCACTTCTTTCTGAAGTTTGTACTGATGATGTTTACTGGGATGATAACGAAAGCTTTACGACTGAACCATCCAGTTCAGAGAACACAACAACATCAAAATAAGATTTAACTTCCATTTTACCAGATGCTAGTTGGTTGTATCTACCCACCTTCTTTGTTCTATAGAAACACGATTGAATGAGTTCAGACAAATATATCTAAATTTATAGTTTTCTTTACAAGTTGAATAGTTCTGTGTGAGTCTATTGCACTCCATGAAAAATACGTTAGTCTCTTAATTACTATATATATATATATATATATATATATATATATATATATATATATATATATATATATATATATATGAAATGAATTCAACAGTAAATAGGATGAATATAATTTTGTTAAAAGAAAAAGTTATATAAATCTATGGAAAATATGACATACCTTTTTGCATTCCTAACTTTTGCCTTATGTACAAACTAGTTGATTCATAATAAAGATACAATTCGTTCTCTCCATACCAATCAACGTGGCAATCAGTGAAGTGAATTGTTTGGTAGGCTAAAATATAAACAAATTCATTACGCTACTACTTTAAAAATAAAACATATTATCATATAGATGATAACTAAATTATAATTTGAATTTCAGTGGAGAATTCAACAAATAGACCTTATTACAGTGATGTATACACTTTCAAGTGATAATATGAAACAGTCTTACTAAGATCATTATTGATGACATTTACTCCTAACAATTAGATACTTCAGTAAATAGATACAACAGAATTCCAAAGAGATTAGTTTTAGAATCATATTCTCTTGTCAGAAACTCATTCATCAGTATGCAAAGGATAAGCTGGAGCATACGGCTACATCAATGTGTGTATATCAGTTTACTTGCTCCTGTGGAGCTAAATACACCGGCCGTACCATGCACCAATTTATGCAACGCATTCACAAACACTATCCAAGGTGACTAACAAGGGGAGGACGGAAATACATCTCCAACTGTGTAACAGAACATTTAGTAAACTCAGAACAATTCGGTCCTTTTGATAATTCCTTCAAAAGTTTTTTACCAAATGGGACTAACCCACTCTAAAGTAGTGAAGTTAAGACATTTGTGCATAGTTGAAGCACCAGCGTTTCAAAAGTGTAAACCATAATCATGAGTTCAAAGGAAGCATGAACAACCTCTTTCTTTGATATCATCATCGTGGATTATCGACTACTCTACATAACCCATATATGATGCAACTATTTTTATTTCGTAATCGTTTTGCTTCTTTAACCATTATGTGACTTTCCTTTGTGATGCAATTTCTTTTGACCTTTCACCGACAATTATTCTAGAATATTCTGTTCTTTTCATTAGATATTCACGAATGTATAGAACGAATATTTTATAAAATCTCTATGAACATGAATATCAGTGTAGTGAAAAGATGTAATTATGATGTAATTGACTATTTAATTTAGGGTTTGATTTGAGAGGTTTGGTCCAAAGTGTGCTACTCAGAGTCACATTCAAATATTTTCTGACTTTCATACAAGAGACGGTCAACAGGATTGTACTAGTTCCATACGGACACTCTGACAGTAGTTCTCCAGTTCTGTTTTGAGTGCATTGAGCAGAAATCTGAGTATGTTTGGCTGACATGCGTCTCGCACCTGTCAAATGTAAGATGGATCTGAAAGACCGGTTTGTAACCACTCCTAGTTTAATGATAGGGAGTGAAGTGGTGGAATGTGCCGACCACTTCATTTACTTCATGAGTTGCATTAGCTCAAAAGGCTTATTGCTGACAAAATCTCAGGTCGGATACAAAATGCGCGTTTGAGATTTACCAATTTGCATCACCTGTGACGCCCACAAGATATCAAAGGAAGGGTATGTTGCGTTGCAGTCCATTGTCTCATGTTGTACGGCTGTGAGACACGACCGTCGAAAGTACAAAACATGAAGCGATTACTAGGCGTCGATCGTAGATGTCTTTGGATCATTGCTCGAGTTTGCTGGAGTCACTAGGTGAGCAATGTTGAAGTCAGGCGAAGAGTACTACGCAAGACAGGCAATTCGATTGATGAGGTTGTGAACCTTAGTCGACTGAGATGGCTTGGACATATGTTGCTCATTCCAAGCCTCTACCCACCTCGATGTGTCGTGCTAAAGGTTGGATTACGTTGAGAAAGTTGAGAGTGACCAAACCAAAAAGTGACATCAGTCCAGGAAATCTCTCATTGTTGGTTCGATTCATGTGAGGAGGTGTCAACCGCCTCCCTGGGGTCCCCGAGACGAAAGGAATCAGTGGTCGGCGACTGACTCTTGATGAATTGGCTGAAAATATGTCACAGTGTCACAGATGTATTCATTCTTTGACATCTTCTAAAGCTTGAATATCGGTACTAGTCTTCGTCTTCAAACTCTTTATTCTCTCGCAAAACTCTTAATTTCGTATCGCTGTTTTTCTATCCATTTGTTCTTTGTGTACTACTGTGAAGTGTGGTGACTTGAGCAGAAGTACCTGTGTGCGAGGGTTTACATCGACTGACATGACTGGGACATGTGTTACGAATGTCCAACCACCATCCGCCTCGTCATTCAATGCTGGTCGAAGTAGGTTCAAGCTGGAAAAACGTTTGGGGTGACCAGACTAAAACATGGCATCAATGCATGAAGTCCTTGAATGTTCGTTTGAGCTATGTAGGGAGGTGCAGACTAGCCGGTTAGGGTCCATGGGACAAGAGAAACCAATGGTTAGAAACCCAAGGTGATATGGTTCAGAACCGATGTCAGTGGCGCAGATTTATACACACGTTGTCCTCATCATAACCACTGTACTTAATCTCATCACTTTCCCACTCTTAATCCTTCTCTTTTATTACTTCCTACTTCTTATCACCGATTTTTCTTCCTTACTTCATCTTCTATTTTATCGCCTTGTTACTTGATGTGGTGATATGAGGTGTGGTAACTTGAACGGTTATGCGGAAATGCCTGGTCATTTGTTGATTTTGACGATGACAATTGGATTGGCTTGGAAAAAACAGATTTAGATTTACTGATTGATTGACTGATAAAACCAATGCAGAACCGCACACACAGGTACTTCTGCTCAAGTCACCACACTTCACAGTAGTACACAAAGAACAAATGGATAGAAAAACAGCGATGCGAAATTAAGAGTTTTGCGAGAGAATAAAGAGTTTGAAGACGAAGACTAGTACCGATATTCAAGCTTTAGAAGATGTCAAAGAATGAATACATCTGTGACACTGTGACATATTTTCAGCCAATTCATCAAGAGTCAGTCGCCGACCACTGATTCCTTTCGTCTCGGGGACCCCAGGGAGGCGGTTGAAAGCTCCTCACACGAATCGAACCAACAATGAGAGATTTCCTGGACTGATGTCACTTCTTGGTTTGGCCACTCTGAATCCTCCTTCAACCTAGTTCAACTTCGAGTGTAATAATTGCATCTAATTTATTCGACTCGAAAACAATTGGTATTTGAAGGTAATCACTTCTGCAAGATTGAATAGTACCAGTCGATCCGTTAATTTCACCAAGTACACTGATAATGTTCGATGTTTAAATCCCAATCTAAACAATTTTCACCAATAGTGGTGATCAGATTTCTCTGATTGGTAACTGTAAGATAGTGTAAATAGAAGCGATATGATAGTGTGATAGCAAAATGAATAATTGTCGATATAAACAAATTACTGATATGATAGATTATAGGATACTTTGGTACCCCCCCCCCTTGAGATGTCAAGTTCAGATTGACTGGTGTGATCACATACCACTTTTTAGTTTATATAAGGGATCCTGATACTGCTTCACATACCAAGGTTTGGGCAGTTAAATAAGAGGTAGGACACTGAACTCAATTCGTAAACCTATACAAAACTGTTAAGCTTTCTAATTGTTAATTACATTCTGCTCTTTTGAAAAAAATGATACTCTCACGTAACAAATCATATGTGCTGAAAGGTTTATTAACACTAGTTGCTGTTCGAGTTAGTATACTAGGCTATTCGAACATAAATTTTAATAAGGCGAATGTAAAAAGTTATCAGAAATAGGCTGGGAATTTTATAAACATCATGAGACAGCATGAAACAAGAATAGAGCTTTAAAAACAACTTCAAATAAAATCAACATTTAACCATCCACTAGAATATGGTCAGTGCTAATTATTTTTTCTTAATGCCGGTGAACTATGCTTGAAATGGTTTTGGAAGTTTGTGTACAACTTTTATTGACAAAGGTGTCTTAACAATTTACGCGAGATCCAGCAAATATCTTTAGCAAACTAAATAAGTTGGCAGTTGTCAAGCTCAACTGAGTACTGCATAGGGACTTGAAATTTCGACATTGAAAGCCTTCAAGATATCTTTTAAACCTAAATATCACTTCAGTTAATATGATAGCAGGTAACAATACGATCAATTATAAAAGCTATGGAAGATAATTAGTTGATCGGACTCTATGTTTTGTCTGATCTGCTTCTTACGTCATTGATTCCAAGTCATACTAACAAAATGACTCCTTGAAACTCCACATAAGTATGAAAACTCACTGAAACTTATTCATAGTAAAAAAAAAAGTTACTGTAACTTCTTAAATCGTCTATAAGTATGAACTATTTGAGACAGTGCCCAAAGAAGGGAAAGGTAGTCAGTACCCTGCTGTGCTGATTTTTTATTTGTTTGATATTGACAGACACATGCTGTTTGCCTTATTCATTTTTAAAATGAAACAAATGACGTCATTCACATCGTTCAGTCAAAAGTTAGGCTTCAATTGCTTACAACAGTATAAGAGGATTCACACTCTACATTTACATATCTTTTTCGTGTTTAACAAGCATCCACTTTTTCTTCTCAGATGCTGCGAACTGCCAAAAAAAAGTATGGTATGCCTTCAACTAACCGATAGATCCGAATTATCTTGATACTTTCTTATTTGACTACGTATAGAAATCCTCTGAAACAACTCGAAGAGACAGAGTTCATACTGAAAATGATTGGATTATAATTAAGAATAACTCAGATAAACTTGAGAAACTAACATCTGCACATATATAGAAATGACAACCGGAGATGAAAAACTATAGTCACGGTTGGATGCAAATTAGAAATGATTTTCTCATTATCAAATACTGATAATATTCGTACGCATTTAACCGACTGTAAGGTACTAGTGGACTGTCAACCTCAAGTGAACCATTAGTTTTGTTTAATAATCAACCTGAAATCTTCATATACATGTGAATACAGTACACAAAAGTATTTGTCTTGTTTGCATTCCCTGCAAATGATTCATTTTTATTTGGCTTTTGGTTACAGTTGTGCATACTTGGTAATAGTTCATCGAAATCTGACAGATACTAGTATTAACTTCTCAATTCTCAATCTGTGTAGGCGCTGAAGTTATTGCAAGGTTCAACTTTCACACTTTCAAAACCATTTCACTCTGTTTTACTCAAAAACTAAAGTGTGGATTTGATAGCTTTTTTTACTGAGTTCTGTAAGTGGGATTAAAACCCGAAACCTAATCAATCAATCAGGATGAACATAGGACTAGGCATTACTGAGTAACGGCCCAAAATGCCAAAGCCAAAACCCGGTGGTCAATAAAGCATCTTTATCGATTATGCAAACAAACGTAGGACCTCGGACAAATAAAATGATAGGATGGTATAAAAAGGTCTTTTTACTCACTAAAACGCAAAAACGCCCACCAAACTTGAAAACTAATGGCAGTTATATGTCCACTTTAGCTACCGATATATGGGTGAAATATGAACCGGCTAAGAATTGACTGTGATTAAAAGATATCAGATGAAAATTTGTCTAAGTGTTCCCATAAATCACAAAGGCAATTAAATGAAGAAGCGGGTCATCGGCTCAAATATACAACTTTCAACCAGTCAGTCCCAGTTTTGAACCCCACCTCATTTAATTTGGTAAAGGGAACCGAGTAGAAGCGTAAACCCTTACACGGCGTACGGTTTACATCTCAGTAATTAAATCCCTAGCCTTTCGAGTTGTATTGTTTTTCAACACACAGCAGTAGGCGGTCTTCGTTAAAAAGTTTAAGCGAATTGTATTGTTGTGGTCATATAAGTAGCTATAATTACTCCAAGTTGCATCCGTACTTAAATATGGAAGACTAGACAAATACAGAGAAGACCCTTACTTTTCAAGTTATTTCTTAACTTCTGTGGATCACCTAGAGTGGTAATATCGCATTTCAAGATTTAGACCTAATGCGCATCATTACGTTTATAGGTAAGGCTTTACAGTTCCACTGAATGAATTCTTATGAAAGAAAAGTGCATTAATAACTTGTTTTTTGTGTTGCAATCCAAAAAAGCACCTTACAGAACACTGTAAAAGTAGTTAAAATTATGAGTATGGTGACAACAAAATGGAACTTACGAATTCTTTTTTTAAAACGGAAGGAGTATTAGAACTATCATTCAAGTGGCTTTCTGATTCAATCGGAAAATCTTCACATAAGGATTCGGAGGTTTGAGTGGGTGATTCACCAATTGTTTCCCCAACATCTGAACACTGAAAAACAGGAGCACTGGCCACAGACTGGAACGGGGAACCACTATCTGACTTTGAGAATAAATTACCACTTGAATAAAAAGATTTTCTAAGACTTTTGAGGCTATTGCATGTTTTTAAGTGTCGGGTGGTGTATTCAACCTCCAAACGTTCAACCATTGACTCATCATCAAGGGGCTCAAGATTGTCATTATAACACTCACGAAACCAAGTACCACGCAAAATAGGACATTTGTCACCTGGAAATTTTACAATGACAGGAAGAACAATTCAAGAACCACCTTTCAATCACTGGCAAAACGCTCTAAAGCGTGACCATGATAAATGCCTAAAAAGTGAGCAGCTCTAAAATATAAATTCAAAAACTAGTGGAAGACTCATGCAATGATCGAAACCTAATTGCTTAAAGTAGGTTTATACACCAAACTGTCAGCCACATTGTGTACTCGTTGGTAGCATATCTTTACCGAAATCTAGTAATGTACAAAGCGTTGAAATATCCATTCAGATTATTTATTCTATTAACAACTTACTGAAGTGTTCCCATAGATCACACTAACAAATAAATGGAAATGTAACCCATTCAACTTTAACTAATGAGACCTGCGTTCAGACTCTATGTCATCTACTTTGGCTAGGGTAAATGTAATCGATCACAAAATACTCACAAATTAAGCACCTGATTTACAAAAAGATTCCTAAAGCTAATAATCCAATAAGTTCATTTTGTATACCATAGAATTCGGGTAACCTTTTATAAACTTTAACAAATCTACATAGTCACTTAAGGAAACACGTCAACTGGGTCCTCACTGTCATATCAGTTATTGCTGAAACTTTTGATTTAGTCAACAAAAACGAGTTAGCACCCTGAATTCAGCTTCAATTGTCCTTCAATATGTTGCATCTCACAAAAAAGTACAGTAATGTTTATGAGGGTCAGCCCTGGAGACCACCAAAGAATAATTAACTTTCCAACTAGGATTCCAAGTTGGTATTCACCGTGAACTGACATCAGCTGGAAGAACATTGGAAACCTGGGAGCACCCGACATCTATTTCTTCCTAGTATGAGACTCGGCAGTGTGCACCCAGGACCCCGCTGGGGGTCGAACCCAGCAACTACGATGGCCTGGTTCTCTCGAGTTTGGTGTTTTTGAGCTCCATTTAAGCGTCGAATAACTAGGGACTGTAGGATCTTGCACACAATAATAGTCATAAGAATACTTCTCTCCCTTCTTAAAGATCAGGATGACCAGTGGAGTACACCAGTCTGACGGCACAACCTCTCCCATACGCTACCTAATACCTCGGTCACTCTAATCACCGATCCCCTGCTTTCATCTCTGAAAACTTCAGGTAACAAACTGTCACGTTTCGATGCTTTGCATAGCCTAAGGTTCAATTCAACTTCAAGGAGAGTTGGAGAACCGACATCTACGTGGCATTCAGATTCAGGCTGGATGTTGGGCAACTGAAGCGTTGCTGAGATACAGTTGAACTGTGCTTCAAAGTGTTCTAACCAATGTTCCAGACCCCTATCATGGGAGATTATGAGCATGCCATCCTTTTCGGCGATGGTTTCACTCACCATAGTCTTTTTCTTGATGATATCTTTAACAGGCCTGAATAGTTGGCGAGTGTTACCCAACACTGATGCCTTCTCCATCTCACTCACTCACTTTCACCACCCACCACTGCTTGTGGTCGACGCAAAGACTCTTGATCAACTTCCGTGTGAGTTACTTTCGCTTTTATCGGGGTCACAGCCAGCTATCCGGAATCAGTCTTCTCGCATCAATCATTTCGAATGTTGTCGCGAAAATCTAGTGACGTTTGCTAAGCTTTAGATGTAGACTACCAATTTTCGTTACCTCTGTTCCTGCAGCAGACTTAATATTCACACCAGGTTTCCTCAGGATGAGCTTTGCTGTTAAGTATAGATAAATCCTTAGCTATCTCCGTGAATGTATACCTGACGTTCTCATTTTCTAATTGACCATAGACAGGTTTTACTATCTGTTTTCTGCAACCAGTAAGGCACAGACAAACACGAGCTGGTTCTAGCGCGTGATCGTAGTCCAAACTGGTACTTCAGGAAGATGGACAATCCTTTACCAATGGCTTATAGTAATGTGATCTATCTGCGTCCATTGTTGAAGTCGATGGATGTGATGTGGAAACTATTACCATAATGAAATGTTAAGGTAATGGTTAACAATGAGATCAAATTACAATAACTAAATTTATGGCTGCTAACGAGGCCTTTCTATATTACTCTTGAGAATACTAACAACGAAAAACCAATTCAGAACATAGTAAACACTGAAGATAACCTACAGAATTCTATGTGGTGAAAACAAAATACTCGGGATTAAATTAACAATCTCCCTGAAAAGTGAACTATACTGAGCTAATCTACATAGCTAAATAAGTACATATCGGCATCAATGCTAACAACACGAATGGAGTTCACTCATCTTGTTAAAATAAGGCCTCGAAGTAAATGAAAACGCTGAGTGTAATGAGCGGAAATCTCGACTGAGGGTCACTTTGAACGCAGAAAACAAAACTATCCTAACCATTAATCAGAATGATATTAAAATAAATATCAGGAACATGAAACAGGGTAATGGAAATCTAAAAAGTCTACTCATACAAGAGATACTTAGAGAAACGATTTTATCTGATTCTAATATTAAGATTGTAGAAGCTAAGTGATAAGGAATGGCTACAAGTGTGAAAATTGCGGTATTCCGTAGCGCATATCACATCACCACTTACTATCGTCTACATGTGTGTGGTAGACATTATTTGTATTATGAAAGATCAAATTTAATTCGATTTTTATAATATGCAATGAGCAAATACTACATTGCTGAAGAAAGGACTATTAGTTTGCCTACTGAATGAACTGGAGGGAACTGGGAGTAAATGACCCAAAATTCCAGTAACGTTTGACCGAATAGGATTTCAGCTTGCCAGAAAACTTTTCTACTCACTAACGCATCTGTCTGAGCAGCTAACAGGTGACCAGAAAAGGAATCAAACACTTTAGTAAGGATTCGACTCCTATTACAATTGACTGCGAAATTAAACCACCGCATTTCAAGCTTACCGGACCAATAGATAGGAAAACAACATCGTTGCACTACTTTTGCGACAAATAACCCTCCTCTAACAGGTACTTCAGGGTTACTGGAACACTCCCCTGTTCTATTAGTAAAATGTCCACACGAGCCAAGAGTGTTGGTCATGTTGCATGCCAGGAGACTTCTATAGCTCAGCTCTAAATTGATAGAATCACAACCGTTGAATGGTAACCACCGTTTGTCACAAGCATCGCGATAGAACCAACGTACCTGTATACCAGAGCATATATTCAGAACTAGAAAAATTACCTGTCCAACTTCAAGTTCAGAGTTTTGATTTTTATGCACATCAGAAGGGTTTCGGGATGCCGAATATGCATAACAATCTGAATTACTGTCCATAGAATCGCAAGACATCTTCCGTATATGTTACAAGCTCAACTAAATCGAGGGTTGATTCACACGCTACAATACAACATGAAGCTGACTTAGAGCTCAAATTAGCGCTTATTCTGGATAGACTGAACTACAGAAACCCCGAGATTTCAAAAGTCACTATAAATGAGCTAAAATCTTTATATCAACCGCCGGTGTTTGACCCTGTAACCGCATTGTGATTGGTCTACCAAAAAAGTGACATATCCTCTTACCTCATCAGTAGTTTCTCAACCTTACACGTTCACTTTCCAGGTGCTAACATCCACCGATGAACCTGAGAACAAATAGAATTTCAGGTTTTGAATACTCATGTGCAAACCTTGAGCTTGACTTCTCTGCACGGCAGTATTCAATATCCAATATCTTTTTACGAGCTAGTGTAAACCAAATGCTTCCTTCGCGCTCCTAGGTTTTGCGGAATGGTTCCAGGTCTTTGGTGGATTCCAATCCGGTAGGTCTACCCATTCGACTGCTGTAGCTCTGGTTAGCCAGACGGGCGGTTGGGTGTTGATTAAATTTGTAGGAAGTGCTGTTTGTTTGCTTGCTTTTTCTTCCAAGGACTGTGGTGCAGATGGGTTCCTCAAGTGTCATGCCGGCAGACAATCGGTCGGACTGGTTGCAAAAAGGAGATGAAAAATATGTGCAGAGAAATCAAGGGAGAGAAAGTGCAGAGCGAGACAAAATAGAAAAAGAAAAGGAAAAAAGGAAGGAAAATAATTGAGAAAGATTAGGGGAAAAAGAACTGCACGGAAGAAGAAACATTGGTTGGTTTATGTGGAACAGGTTATAGGGAGAGCTTTCGTTAGAGTTTGAGAGCGTAAAGTCAGAAGGAAGAATAATAAGTAACATGATAGGACGAATGGGAATATAGTAATTATTTTAGTAGGAGACGGTAACTGGAGGGGACGTCTACAGGAAGGTGTAAGGTTGAGCCAAGATCTCAGTGATAGTGGTTTTACAAAGTGTTCAGTAACGGTCAGTCGTACCGAGTCGGTAAGTCGTGTCAGCCTAGTCCATATGGCAGTTGGATGAGCGCGAGCCGTGCATCGCTGCGTAGCTGTCCAAACACTTCTTGAAGCTCTCAACAGACGGAGCAGTAGCAATCTCGGCAGGCAGTGCGTTCCAGTGGCCTCAAACTCGCAGAGAGAAGTGTGATTGCACGCGGGTTTTCACTCTTTTTTGGGCGATTCTCCTTGGGCTACCACGAGGATCGCCATAGTGGCCGTTCGGTAGGATTCCACTGTTCGGTTGACTTGGGCTACTGAGTATTTTGTAGGTAGCTATCAAGTCACCACGGCATCTAAGGTAGCTTAGAGAGTAGAGTCCTAGATCTTTCAGCCTGTCGCCATAGGGTTTTCGCCCCATTCCCACGACACCCTTTGTATTTCTTCTTCGGACTTTCTCTAGGAGGTTCACACCTCTTTTCAGATATGGTGGTGCAACGACGTTGTGGACCTCTATGTGGGGCCGTATGTAGGTCTTATACAGCTTCGAAAAGAGTTCTGGGGTCGGTGCACCCAGTTGTCTGCGCATGAACTGCAGTACTGTGTGGGCTATGGAGGCATCTTCTGGATAATTGGGGCTAGTGTCTTGTTTTTCGGTCAGTATTACTCCTAGGTCTTTCCCTATGGTAGTGTGGGAAAGCTGTGTTCCACGGAGAGAATAGGGTACCTTCTGAGAGTCAGGGGTGCGGAGAAGCATTGCTCGGCACTCATACAGATTAAATGCAAGTCCATTAATATCTACCCACCCTGTCAGTAATCTGAGGTCACTTTGCAGTGCACTTGATTCTGTTTCTGACGTCACAGCTCTCCATAACTTAACATCATCAGCGTAGAGTAGAATTGGGGAGCTGAGATTCAGTGGGAGGTCGTTGACAAAAAGAAGAAATAGCAGTGAACCGAGAATCGCCCCTTGCGAAACACCAGATGATGATGTCCTTTAAGTCGGGCTAACTCTGTTGGCTTTTGTGCAGAATTGTCCTCCATCTAGATAGTCCCGCAACCGTGAAAGCACTTGTCCCCCGATTCCCACCCTTGCTATTTTGTGAATAACAACAGTATGTGGAACTGCGTCGAAGCCCTCAACAAAATCCAGGAAAATGACATGAACAGGAATTTGGAGGTTCTAGCGTGCCGTCCGCTTGTCACCTGCCGCCAGAATGTTTGCGGCACATGACCTACCCTTTCTGAAACTATGCTGCGCATCACTAAGTGCTCCTCTCCTTCCTAAGGGCTCCCTGACATGGTCGTCTACTGTGCTGTCCATCACTCTTGATACCACTGGTAGAAGGGCTATGGGTTGGTAGCATTTTGGGTTCTGCATGTCTCCACCTTTGAAGACGGTGGACAGAATAGCACTTTTCCACTCTCGTGGAAGCATGTGATTGTCTAAGGAGTGTTGAAACAAGTTACCACAAAAGGCTCTCGCGCATTGTTTCAACACAGCCGGTCGGATGTCATCACATTATGGTGATTTCCGTGGGCGGAGCTTTGACAACTTTTCGAGGACCATGGCAGGAGTTACCTTTAATCCAGGTAATTCTGCTGCATTCGGTGGTGCCAAATAATGGTCAGACAGCTGGTAATTTTGGTTCCATAGGGACGGATTCAAGTGCGTATCGAAGGTGGCGCCAAAAGCCACGGCGAACTCTAGTCCCGGGAGGTCCTCTCCGCTTGGGCCTTTCATGACGCAAGCCCCCTGCCTGGTGGATTTTCTGCCTGCCATAAATCGATATAGGTTTTTTGGGTTTGCCTCCAGCTTTTGGGCAGGGTTCGTCCGGAATGACCTCCTATCTCCCCTCGCTCTAATATTACATCGATTTCTTGAGGCCATATATACGGAGTGGTCACACTCTTTCCTGGAGGTCCTCCACTTGTGCCGTGCTTTCCTCTTGGCTTTCAAAGGGCGTTCAGTGCCTCTTTTCAGGCATGAGGTTTGCTTCCGCGGTATTGCTGCGATTACTGGGACGTTTTCAGAGACAGCCCCCCTGATGATACCTCTGACTAGTTCCCAATGTTGATCAATCGACAAATAGCTTCACTCCCGAGGCCATGGTGCCGTCGACAGGTATTGATTCATTTCCACGTAGTTAGCCTTGCTGCAGTAAAGACGAGGGCGAGATCCCTCCCATGACAGTTGTTTGTTGGGTGCCAAATCGAAAACTACCACTCCGTGATCTCTGCTGCCGAGCCGCGTCTGAACCAGTGCATTTTCTACCAGCAGTGGGTCACTGGTGAAAAGGTAGTCCAGTTTGGATGGATCTTTGCCCAACCCCCAGCGAGCGTCATCACCAACATTCTCGCGCAGTCTAGCCTTTTTGATAGAGTTGAGTAGGTTTCGGTCGAACCTTGAGGTTCCCCTGTCCTTCACAAGATTGAGAGTTGGGGCAATAAAGTCGCCGGCTATAATGACCTTATCATATCCGATGGAAGTCATTCCGGACATTACTTGCGGCAGTTGTCGGTTATCTTCTACGCTGCTTGCAGGTGTTCTGTAGACGCCTCCCACTAGGTACTTGATGTATCTAACCTTAAAGTGACACCAGATGCAGTCTGAAAGCCCTGAAAGTAGAGTTCTCGTTGCTCGTTCACTTTTAAGGTCATCGCTTACGAGCATCACCACTCCGTCTCCTTCCTTAAACCCCCTCTATCCTGAACGGGTGCATACCGTCTATACTAGTTTCGACGTCACTGATATCCGGTGACAACCAAGTTTCTGTCAGGATTATGGTCGTAGGAGCAGGGCAGGAAAAGAGAGATCTTGATTCTCCCATCCTACTCCTAAGTCCCCTCGTATTACTATAAAGACACCTGGATATGTTTCTAACGACATGGGGTATCCTGGTGCTGGCGGACTGGAGGGAGTCGTGCCGTTATCGCAGTGTCCTGGGCCTGCTTTCGCAGCAGCGAACATTCGCGCCGATGTTACCTTTGACTATGTACCGAGTTTGCAGTACTCTGGTTAAAAGTTCTTGACGGCCAAAGTTAACAGCCATCAACCGGGGTGATGTTATCGTCGACAAGTATGAAGGACGTTAGGGTCTGCAGACCGCCACCACTGCTATCCCATCTAATTCTATCCTTGCTGATTACCACTGGCATTGCTAGACGTCGTGAGCATACCTTTCTACGACTGTGCCGGTTGTCGGTCCCGGTTTGCCGTGGACAAACGTATTTGCTGGTTTCAGCGTTTGGGGTGCCTAGCGAGATACTTTTCTTGCTGACCAAGGACTGTCTGGTCTGGCTCTAATGCTGAATGATCTGTTGATGACTGGTGTGTGTGACATCAACAAGAATCTTTCCGCTTCCTTAGCCTAGCTCAGGGTGACTCTCATCGGCGGAGGTTTACCATGAGACGAGCAGCTGCCTTTGTAGAGCCTGCACAGCTTAGCTTCTAGGCTACTCAGTCCTTGTGTGGCGCATACGGTTTCCCACTGCTGTTTGTCAGAAGATTCTCTGTTTTCAAGAAGGCTATCGTGGAACACGGGGAGGTTAAATAGGATGATGGAATTCGACCTGTCATCAGCTTCTCTGTCTTCGTGTACTGTGAGTGGTTTTATGTGAGGAGGGTGCACCTTCTTTTCCACTGCCACCCATTTTTCCCGATGTACGGTGGGGTTAGCCGTCTAAGTGACTTCACGGTTGGGGACTAAAGTGGTCGGTCGCTTACCCGGTCGTCGTTTAGGTCTTTTTAGACCATTCGCCGGTGTGACTGGCCGGGGTACAGTGCTGACACTCTTGCTGCATGGACCTGAGGTAGTGGTCTGTGTGGGTGCCGGCATCATAGTAGCCACTGCGATGTCCTTTACTGCCTCCACCAGCGAGCCTGTGGAAAACAGTGGCCTTATACGGCACTATTGGCAGGTGTGCTGGAACCACGTGCATGAGTAGCGCGCCATGAGGGTGTAATAATGGTCTGGTATGTCCTCATCACACTGACTGCGCACCCACTTATTGCAAATGTTACACTCAAAGGCA